CAGCAACATGGAGGGAGCAGCTCTACGGGCATTGCTTCTTTCCCTTGCTAATCAGAGCTCCACACTCCCTAGTCACGCCACCACCATGGCCTGGGCAGGCATCCTAGATGATGGCCTCTTGAGACCAAGGACCCCATATGGGCTGCTTTGGAGTCTGAGAGGAACCATGGATATGCATACACACATTCACACATTCAACAACAGCAACAGCCCCCATCGAGAAGTGGGGTTTTTAGCTGGCGAGGCGCCGCTGTCAGTGCATCAGTCACAGGAGGACATGGGTGAAGTCAGAGCCTGACAAATCCAGGGTATTATCAGGCCTTTGTCCAGCCTGCAGCTGTCACTTACCAGGCTAGTGGGATAGGATGAGGGGGACAGAAGGGAATTCATGACCTATCCCTGTAACCACAGAGGAAGATTGAGGCATTCAGAGATAAAACATATGGAAAGGAAATGAAAGAAATAAAGGAGAGATATCAGGCAAGAAAAAAATAGGAAGATATTTTTATAAAGATGGGAAAGAGTAAAGTGGAGAGGGAAAGAAATGCCGGGAGAGGGCTATATGCTTCAAATGCTTTCGTTTGATTGGAAGAATCATGGCAGATTGGCCAATCTGTGCTGATTTCCTCTGAAGATTCTAAAAAAAATGTCATAGAAAATATCTTTGTCCCTCTCCCCTTCAAAAATGACCAGCGGTAATGCAGATCTAATCTTTTTCTATCATTGCGGTAGGTCCCAAAGGCGGTCCATCTTCTCCAAAAATGCCCCATCTTTCTGTCTTTGATATAAATGAAAGTCCACCGGGCGATGGAATAAAGATGAGCTAAGCCTTTGACTTCATGCAAGATTGCCAAAGGACCTAAACTTAAGAACCCTGCCCCCTCATCTGCTTCATGAAGATACTGGGGCCAGAGCAAGAAACCAGATAAGATGATATAATTTCAATCAACAGTGATCAGATAAGAAATAACAGACCGTCTGATTTTAAAGTCACACCGAAGCCCCAACAGTTCAGTCTTTTTCACTTTACTTTGTCTGTGACAACTCTCAGAACTCCTGTCAAATGTCTCTTGAGTTTTTATCCCGCGGATTATAACACTATGTTGCTCTCATTCTGATTGGGTGGAACTGGCCCCTGACCTTAGGTATGCTCATATGACCCAAGTTACACTCTTAGTGAGTAGATTACTCCTTTATTGGCTAGTGGCAGTGTTTATAGGGCATACCAAGACTCAATGTGGCTTTGATCCACCAACAGAAGCAAAACAGGGACTGTGCCATAGTTAGCATCCTTGGCCTAAGCCTTGTGGCGTGTGAGACATCTGCCAAATCCCCCTGGATCAAAGGATGACTATTACACAGACAGGCGTCCAAGTATCCCGAACTGCAGCTTTAGAGGGCTCATGACCCCTGTCAACGGGTCACGTTAAAAAACACAGGTGGGATGGGGGTCACACATATGTCTGCTCAAAGACACATACATACCACTGGTTCTTCAAGTGTGTTCCTGTATAAGTTGATATTGTGAGGTGTTGTGAATAAAACTATAATAAAAAAAAGTGTGATTTACTCACAAAGCTATATTCATCACAAGTTCAGAAAGTTTGCAGCTTATTTTTTGATGTTCCATGGCATCTCTGTACTTCAGCTTGTCTTAATAAGGGAGATAATAATGTTGGAGCAGCAGGAGAATGAGGAGATCAGTAGAGGGACTGTGGTTGTTGTTCAGATGGGCCTGAATCCTTGTGGTTTGACATGACTCTGCATGCCTGTGAAGTCACAAGTTCACCTCTCCCAATAAGACTTCAGAGTAAGCTTTCAGCCAAGCTATAAATACAGCAGCGGTATGGCTTTACTGAATACAAGTGTCTGGAAAGTGAGGGGAAGAGAGAAAGGGAAAGGGAGATAGTGAGAGTCTTTCTCAGCTTCTTTGTGTCTCTTTCTACTCCTATGTGTTGCGGTCTGTGTTGTGTGTGCATGTTTGCATGCATTTTTGAGCAACATGGCGAACCTGAGAGGCCAAGTGCTGACATTTCAGACTGCGAGCACACAGATGAACTTGAGCAGATCTCATTATACAGGACAGAATGAAGGTGCTTATTGTGGCTAAATGCTGTGGCATATGGATGCTTTATCTCCCTGATGTGTTTGAATTACTTTACGAGTGGCATCCCATTTTCCATTGACTCACGTTTTAAAAGAGGACTTTTGGGGGGAAAAAGCACTGGGCCTAAGCCCTGCAAGCTCATACAATTATGATGCAGAAATCCCCCCCCCCATCTTTTCTTTGAGCTCTTGTTCTTCAGGCCAATTACAGACATTGACGTATTCACAGGGGTATTTATAAGCAGTGACACCTGATGCATTGGCAACGATCATGCTGACTAATTACACATTGAGGTGCCCTAGCACTGGGGAGCTCTCAGGGAAAGCAGCTGAATCCATCTTTCTTATGTATGGAGACAGGCCTGCTACTGGCTTTTATAGTAGTAGTGGGCAGCTTCTGGTGCCTCTGTGTGCTTGATTTCGGTGTGCATAGTTTTCCAGTTATTTTTCTTACGATATGAATATGTTTACACTGAAGAATCCTGCTTTCCAAGAATCCTATCATTTCGGCACCCCCATGCTGGGCGGAGGACCAAGAGAAGAAGCCCTGCAGATAATTTAGATATTGCACAGGCCTCCTTTGAACTGCCATGACAAATTCACCCCTCATTAAATCCCACCCTCACACCCAGCCCTTATGCAATGCAATTTCCATTTGTAGTGCTTTGAAAAATATATATCAGTGCCTTGGTGCTCATTCTTTAATTTGCTGGAGATCTTGTCTTCACTGATCTTCTCCCATTCCACTTCCCACCACTTTATCCACCACAAACTGGAGCAGAAATTTGTTAATATATAGGCTACCCACTTTTTTAAATTCATGCATTAGTGGGTGAGAGAAGGGCAATAGGTCTTACTCTGTAGGAGGTGTATATGGACTCAAGCAGTCTTGTTTATAGCCTGGGTTGTGGCCCTTTTTCTGGATCCCAAGCTGGCTCCCACTGCCCCCTCTGGTTCCTCTAGCCCATGGTGCATGTTTGAGATGCAATGTTAAGAATGACAAGGACAAAGTTTTACAAGGCTGTTTGTTTGCAGGCAGCCTGGTCTTCTCTTTGACCAGCCTCAAGGATTAAACTAATTGCATGTAGTGAACTTCCCACATCTATGTTTGGTCTTTTCCAAACACTATATTCTTATAACAGTCTTTGTTATAACTTAGAACAAACCTCTCTCTTGAGCAGAGATGATGACATGTGCTATATTTCAACATATGTATTAGAAGGCATATATTAGGTAAATGTGAAGAAAATGTATTCAGAATTGCAGATGTACTTTTATTTTTTTTCTTCTCAATTGAACGCTGTGTGAGCGTACATATTGTGTAGCTAAGGCTCACACACTTATATCCACACAATTTATCTTCAGGGAAATCTGGAAACCTTTGGATGTAGTGGTGTGCATTTGGATGGATGTGTGAGTAGAGTATGTAGCATTTGTAGTTTGTATTTAATTTGTAGTTAAAAGAGAGAGCATTTGGGGGAATTCAATCTTTAATGAGCCTTTAAGTGTTGCCATAGATTTGCACATATAGTCTATGTAGCACTGTTGTTCGTAGACTACAATTGCATTTCTTGCATAATAATGCTATTTAAGCAACCTCTTGCAAATATACAGGGAACATTGATCTTGGAATGAACAGTAATAGGACTTCACCATCACCCCACACCCTAAAAGCATTAGCTACACACGCCAGTGAGCCACTTAATTGCCCACATCCACATAAAAGGCCTAATGTACGCTCCTGCGCTCCCACACACAGAAAGCTATAGGAATCAAATGGCGTATAACTAACACAATTGATTTTGATCAGGCAGTACGAATAACACGATAACCGTGTTCTCACCAAGTGCTACTCAGGGGCACGCAACAAAATCTGTTCATCCTTTATGAGCTGCTATTTATTGTGCTTTTAATGAAGCTTGATTGGCAGCATGTTCTAGTGCCCATTATCATCAGAAGGATGTGCTCATACTGATCTGTAATTATCGGCATAATTGCGCCCAGAATCCTCTGGGCCCAAATAAGCAATCACTTCCACTGACGCGCCACCTGTGAGTGCTACTCAGGAGGACACATACAATGGCAGGGTGATAGGTCCTGGCTGACTTTGTTTCTTCCCCTTCTCTCACAAGCTTTTGATTAACCTTTCCCTTTTTCACTCAGCACTATCCCCAAGAACACCCCCCCACCACCACCACAACGTTTATCTCCCTTTCCGTCCCTCACCCTATCCATCCCACTGCCTGAATCCCCGAGCTTCTATTCCCTCCCAACACAAATTCCTAACCTTTGGTCAGTTTCATCCCTGTGGTATGCATAAATGCAGGCCTATTATCAAGCTGGTTGTCTCATCATAATTATGCGTTTTGTCATGTGCTGTCTCTGTAGCTGGTGATAAAAGGAGAGCCTGATTAAGCTGAAGGAAGGCTATTGATTCCTATTGACAGGTCCTCAAAACCCTTTAATGAAAGGGATTTAAATGAGGGTTTTCCACTGTGTTTAATGACTGTGTACTATAAAAGGCCAACATTCTCCTGCAGTCTAAAAGGGACATGCATCGCTCAAACTGGCACACGAGGGACACTTTCAGTTATAGGGATGCTCAGGAGCAAAGGCTAGAAGGAGCGAGGGTACGAAAGAAAAGTGAGGTATGCAAAAGGCAATCTTAACTGTCAGATCAAGGGATCTTCAACACTATTGAGAGGGATGTTAGGGTGGAAAAGTGAATTATTCAAATATTTTAAAAAAGCATCAGTAACAACATGCTAGCTATTGAGTAACGTGGCAGGTGTTATTTCTGAGTTAGGGCTAGCTGAAAAATTGCCACTAAGCATGCTATCTGGATTCAAAACAACTAGTTCCACTGTCTCACCTCCTGTTGCTCTGTCTCCCAGCAGCCAGGTGGCTCCCAGTAACCATGACCGGATACAAAGGCTGAGGAACGAGTTCCAGCAGGCCAAGCACGAGGAGGACATTGAGGACCGTCGGCACACCTACAGTTTCAACCAGTCTCGGGTGAGTGTCCGATAGGAGCCATGCTCCATCAGAGTGGCGCTGAGCTGCACAGACCCAGAAACACATACTCCAAAATACCCTACACTCAGCGTTGTTAGAGTGATTCCCCTAATGTACTGCTGGACACTAAGATTACCACCAAAGCCACCAGCTGATGAATGGGTTTCTTGAATGGGTTACACTCTACTAACGCTCATACTAATTTTATTCCTACATACCTTGATTTGAATCTTTTACTATTTACTATTGGCGTGACTTTACTTTAGTCAGTGTTGGGCACTACTCTGTAACACAGCATAATAATATCCTCTTTTTTGAGGAACAAGCATTAGCAGATCAATATTTCAGCATTTCAGTGTTGCTACAAACACAAAATACCTTTTTTATTGCTACTATCTTGATGATTGTAGCTATTACTCAGTTCATCACTACAATTAAATCATAAATTCCTGCATCTCATGATTAACAATAATAACAATCTTACTTGTCAAATGAAAAATAACTGAAATAACACAGTATGAAGCCCAGAACAACATCAACTTTCAACGGTTCCATGAATTGCCTCAGTTGTATGACAGTGTCATCCTTTTGGACCATCAGTGTTGTAAGACTGCCAGACTATCTGACTCATGTCGCTGAAACTTCAGGCTTCCCTCCCAACTTCTGCCAAATTTCTTTGACTAATTTAAAATTTCTGGGTCCAACCTTTGCTCTGTAACTAATTGCTAATTACTCATCTCTGTCTGCGCCTCTTCTGTCTCGGAAATATGGCACGCTTATTGCAAGAAGGAGGAGAAGAAATGAACAGGGGAAACATTCAATGACAAGGGACTATTCGGGACTTTGAGGCAAAGTAACGGGAGAGAAACTGAAGACAGAGGCACACTGCTCATGGTAATTTTCATTATACTTGATTAAAGGGATTTTTAAATTAAAATTTTTTAAATTAAAATGTAAGAGTTTTTTACTCTTCCATGATTGATCTGTACCAACAATGGGATTTACTCTCCATAATTGGAAAAATGTAATCAAGTTAATTCCTTTGTTAATTCATTCAGACCTGATCTCATATTCCTTCCTGCTGTGCATGAAATGTTCATCTGTGCCCAGAGTTTAAGTTAAGAAACAGTTTATTTAATCTTTTCACATACACATCATGTCATTGTTGATATTAACATGCAGTCCCACCACTTACTTATCTCAAACTTCTGTTTGACTTGATATAACTCATCGATTGACACTTAATTTAAAGTCATATATTCTTTTTTTGTCCAAACAGTAATAGAGTCAAACTTGTATAAACAAGCAGGAACAAGTTAGAGATCAAATATTTGTCTATTTATGCAGTGTAATAGCTTTAGACAGCCTCCGTTTTTCATCCTGTGACTTTCCTGACCTGGTTGTAGAGGAAAGATGGCTACTTGTTACACCAAACAGAGCTATTTCCTAAATTATGGGTCAGAATGTCAGACCTTGAAAGTGAAAATATTTGGCTCCAATTTTCTGGAGAATTATCTATGTCAGTTTGTCAGTTAAATTGGTTTAGAGCAGAAGTCTGATTTAGCAGGGATCTCTTCTGCTGTTTTTTCTATTGTCTGAATGAATTTGGGTTGGATGTAACAACATACTTCCCACCATGTTTTTATACAGAGGAAGGCAGACTTTATTTGCTCTAGATTTCTTTCAGTGTTGAAAGAAAGCTGAAAGTGGACATCTTCCTCCTCCGTTTTCTTAATATATCTCCTCCCATTCCCACTGTCAAAATGAGATGCTAACTGTTTGTTCAGCATTAAACAGTCTCAGTCTTTCTCTCTTGAGTCTCTGAGCTCCTAATTGCTTGTGATTGTTGACATTGTTGAGTATATCCCCACTATTCCACTGGTAATAAGATATAAGGCTAGCCCTTGAGTATTGAATTTTATTAGTCCTCTTTCATGTGTTTTTTAGTCCTGCGAACAAGGATCCACAATGACAGAGCTTGTTAAGAAAGATACAGACATACCCTTCTTATGTTTCGACTGATTAAAAGAACTCGAGGGAAATCATGTCTTAAGCCCCTCTTATGCAGCCTGTTCAAGAGGGGAATGTTGCACTATTATTCCACCTCACCGTTCTGTGTAAAACGTATGAACACGGAATGGTGGGTGTTGTTGTTTGGGCGATGTAGTTCCACCGTTAAGCTGTCTGAATGGGTAGTCGACATTGTTGTGTTACACACTATGCCTCTTTTGCTTTCAGATTGCTGGCATGCTCTATAAAATCACACTCTGGGGCAGCATAATGTTGCCATTTCTTCTTTATAGCACTATTGCGGGATCTCTGTTTAAAAAGGGCTTTGGTGTCATCCAAAAGCAGAATAGATATAGCTCTATTCAAGGCGGATGAGTCAAGCATTTTGATATGAAAACCAGGGAAAACTGTGGAAAGATAAGACAGAGGTAAAAACTTGGCCGTTAGATATGTTGGTAAAAAGAAGGAAAATAAAATAAAAGGACTTTAGAGATGTACAGTAGGGCTGTCGCGGTGAAGTAATTTCCACGCGGCAATATGTTGGGGCTCAACAACGCGGTATGCAGTATTATCGCATTTCTCATCAATGAAGTAATTTGGCAATTTGGAGTAAGAGTGTCTGTATCTGTCACCTCACTGCACAGCGAGCCGCTAACTGCAGCTTTATGGTCTGAGCAAGCTAGCTGCTGCATGCTAGTCAACAACATTGCCAAGCAAACTCCTTTTTTGTAGTTTGACCTTGTCTTTTTCAGATGTAGCTATATCATTACCTTCAGGGCATGTCTATCAAGTCAATTTACATACCGCAGCAATGCACGGTGTGGAGCAGAATGGCTGTCCACAACTAACCACTGCGCTGCAGTAACATAACTTTTCCACAGAAAGCAACATGAAAAACAGCAGCAGGCTTCCGAAACACTGCGCTCTTTAGTTAGTGAGATTCAAAGGAGGCTTATTGTCCACAGTTTATCTGGACTGTCCCTCAGGATCACAACTTGAGTCCAACATCCCCAAGCGTGCTAGCCACATTAGCCGCGCAATATGCTAACGCCAAGTTAGCTAACCTTTAAAATAATCATTAACAACGTAAAACACTGGTCACGTACAGCCCATGGCGATCCATCCTTGAACCGTTACAGAGCTTGTTATGGTTGTGGAACTTTTGAAGCACTCATTTATTAATTTAACACGCCCTGAAGTGTACAGTATGAACATTGCGGTTGTTGCGGTGCTTGATATTCTCCGCGGTAGGCTTGACCAATAGCGCAGTATTTCACTTTTGCAGTTATTGCGACAACTCTAATATACAGTACTAGGCAGGGCTAAAATGTATAAATACACCAGATAAATACATTTGAACAGTTTTAGACTGATTACGAAACTAAGATGTTTATGCAACTTACAAAAAAGACTTGGTTCCATTCAAATCTGGATTTTATAAGTGTAGATGGAGCTATCAGTGACAATAGCATTTTTAGAAACTGAAAAAGACAACATTGTGTAATAAGGCTCCTTTTTGAACAGAAATTTATTTATCTTTCTTTTTTTACAGTGGATTTCACTCTTTGTCATTGCTGAATGTTGTCCGCAGTGATGAAAGTGAAACCTCCATGACCTCCACTTTTTGTATATCAAAACATTCAGTGAATATAACCAGGAAAAGGCAAAATGCTCGAAGGCAGTTAAATGGCTTCCACATCAAAGTCTGCATAACTACACTTGATGCACGTTGTCCCTGAGTACTCAAGGTTACATAGTAATGGCTTCCACACAGATCTACAAGCCAGAATAGCAGCGGCTTCTATCATCTCAAAGCATGACCTCAATTTCCATTTAGTAGATGTTGTGGCTCATATCACGAAATGTTTTCATCATGTTGGCTTTAAAGTTGAGCTTCACTGTTCATTCTTGGCTTTGGAAACAGCCACTTAAATAATCTCCTCAGGTTCTATTTAGTAACTGTTCTGGAGCTTTTGATTACATTGCATGATCTTCATCAGCAAATGGTGTCTGCCCATGCGATGGGTATCGCTACTACTAGTAAATCACATTAAGCCTGTTGCAAAGAACCTTGGTGTCTGGTTTGATAGTAATTTAAATTTCGAGCAGCACACCACAAAGCTTGTTCAATCATGTTTTTATCAACTTTGAAATATAGCAAAAATTCGATCTATGTTAACTTTTAAGGACACGAGACCATTTTACACACCTTCATCTCATCACGCCTGGATTATTGCAACAGCCTTTTCACCTGTTTAACCCAAAAATCTACTGATCGACTCCAGACTGTCAAGAACTCAGCTGCCAGGCTTTTAACCAGAACAAAGAAATATGACCACATTACCCCTGTGTTAGCTTCACTACACTGGCTCCCAGTATGTTTTAGAATTGACTTTAAAATTTTATTGATCACTTTTAAAGCTCTTCATGGCCTCTCGCCTTGTTATATTTCTGACCTTTTAGTCCCATACGCACCAGCACGTACCTTGAGATCCTCGGGCAGAGGTCTGTTGTCTGTTCCAGAGTCTCGACTGAAAACTAAAGGGGGCAGAGCGTTTGCTGTCAGGGCCCCGAGGCTCTGGAACAGCCTGCCCGAGGAAATCAGGTCAGCTGAGTTATTGAACTCTGTTTTACTTATTTTATATTTATCTTAAACGTGTATTTTAGTCTTTTCAATGTTTTCTTGCTTTTATCTTGTATTGTTTTTGTATTATTGTTTTTTGGGTATTATTGTCTTTGCAACTTGTTTTTGAAAAGTGCTCTACAAATAAAGATTATTATTATTATTATTATTATTTCTTGATACCCTTATTGGAATCGACCGAAACAGCCCAGTATCGAGAAGAATCAAAACGTCTCCAGTCAAACCAGTACTTCATTCAATACCTTTTGTAGCCAGATCGCGGAAAATAAATTACTATTTGTATGGTTTTGCTTGCAGCCAAATATGCAAGCAACACACCGAAAGAAAGAGAAGAGCACGCATTTTTTCCTCTTATGTGCCTGCACTATAGACTGTATAAAAAAGCCTTGCACTCATTGAGTCCATGCGTGATTTTAACAGCCGCTCACCTTCAGTTGCGGTCTCAGGCATGTTTATCACTGTTGCAAGTTTATCACCACAAACTTGGCTTTCTGTTGGTTTGCTATTCACATCACTTGTCACTGATCGATCGCTGCGTTCCATCACATCAATTAAATGCTGTTGTGGCGCAGCAGTGATCAGCTGATTTTACTCACGGACCCTCTGGCTGCAGCTGCGGTTGCTTCAGGTGTAGCTGGTTTGATCGGCTGGACGTACAGCATCTCTTTTCCTCTGTTTGCTTCTTTAGAGTCTATAGTGTCATTTAGTGACTTGTTTAAACAGACTCCATACTCGTTTTATACTTGTTACTGTTTTTGGAAGTTTGCGACTCACCAATAAAGTAAAAAACAATCTTTCAATTCAGTTTATTGATTGAAAGTTAACAAAATAATTTTCCATTGTTTACTTTCAACGCATGTATCAAAAAATTAGGATGAGGAGGATGTGATAAAATTTCCCAATAATTTCATGTAACAGTTATTTGAAACAAGAAAAAAATAAAACAGATAACCTTGCTTGTCCATAACAACAAATAAATAGGCTACCAGTCAACTACTATGGCTTCAACAGGTGGCATTTTATGCAAGGTATTGAATGAAGTACTCTATTGGTATCGTTATCACTTTAAGGGTACTGGTTTTGGTACTGGTATCGTAACAAACTGCTTTGGGGGCAAAAACGGCACATGTAAAATAATCATGATAATGAGGGACAGGTACAGAGGGAGCAAACGGAGCACCGTGAGGTGAGTTTGACCTCAGCTTGTCTCCGGGGTGTTGGAAAGTGAGCTCAGGTATGTCTACTTTGAACGGCTGTAATGACAATGCTGAGGTCAGTCCTCGAATAAAGGCTCTTCCTTAATGGAATAATGAACAGGACATGAGAAGCCCTGTCTACCATGCAGCCCCTAAACCAGCACACACAATTAGAGCTGGCATGTTTTCTCCCCCTCCCGCCCCGCTGCTCTGTGAGAGGGGATTTCCAGATGTTCATCATAAAGCGCTATGTATTTTCCAAAGAGTTGCCTTTTTCTCTCTTGCTCTCTGTCTGCAGCAATAAAATCAGTTTGTGCTGTTGGATTGGAGCGCCAATGAGCATGACCACACAGAGGAGTGTGAGCGCCATGCTGGTACATTGGATCAAGCACACCACCGGCAGCTTGTAAAGGCCTCATTTATGTGAATTCTTTTGATTTTATTATCGCTTTATCTCCTGCTACCAGGATACATGTGTCTACAAGCATTTGTTGTGTTTATGCAAACTTGGGTTATGGTGCTTTTATGTTGGTTCTATGTACAGCTAACTCTTTCCTATGTGATCATGTGATGAATAAGCCACTTTTAGCTGCAGTCACTTGACTTCCCAGGGGCTAAGGGTTAGAGTTAAGACAACAAAGCTATGTGCCATGACAAAACAAAACAATGCAGCACTTAAATGTCAATGATAGTATGATTCTTTCAAAAGAAATTTCATACTCTTGTCCATAATTGCCTGAACTTGCAAGTAAAGCACATATACGCGTATGCTGTCACACATTGTTGCATAGTAAATGTCTTGTAATGATAAAACAGTTTAAAGGCAACCCAGCTGACTCTGCTAGTTGTAGTTTAACCTCACATACCTAGAGTAGCAGAAAAGGACCATGACATACTGTAGTAAGCAGTAGGGAAATCCTTTAGCCACTCATGACTATATCTGTAAGGCTTTTTTCACGGCGCTGAGAGGATTCTCTTCAAGATTTGTCTTGGACTCATGGACTTTTGTCACTGTCCTCTTGCTACTATCTCGATCACCAAAAATAACTTCACGCTACTGTATTTTTCAACCACAACTGATTATGTCGCCGTTGATCAATCTTTTGTTGAGCTCCTTCTCAGTTTGCTCAACTATGCTAACCCCAGCTTTTCTATCGCACTCTTTACAGAGATACCAAATTGTGTGTTCAAAGATTAGATAGAGAACAGAGGGTGGAGAGGAGAACAAAGCGATTACACTGCTCTTATGTAGACATAATAATATATTTTGTCACTATTACCCCACACATTCATTCACACAGATATCTTCACAATAAAAAATAAGACTTCAACATTTTGTTCTTCCATTAGTGCGTGCTGCGGTGTTCTTAACTGATATGGAGATAACCAAACCAACCTCCCATTCACCGCAGTTTCCTGGCCCAGGGACCGGGAAATGGCAGACCACACTGCTTGCTCTCAGACTGATACTCCACCCGGAGCTACACACCCCGGCGACCACAAATGAACTGGGCTGTGCTTATAATAAATTGGCGGAATTGGGTTGTGCAAGGACTTTAAGAGAGGATCATTATCCAACTGGGCTTTGTGAGGATGTCGTCTTGTTCGGTCTGCCCATTAGCAACTTAAATGTCTTCCATATGTGTGTTTGTGTACAGCACGGCTGCTCTCTTAAAACTGTTCCCTATGTGGTGGGGTACAAACATAGATTCATGAGTGTGGGTGTGGGCGGTAAAGTTAGTGCTGACCCATCACAGCAACCTGCTTTGATATCTAAGGTCTGTGACCAGCTCTAAACCAAGAAATGTTACACCTTGGCTGTCATGTTTATGTTTTGAACTTTTAAGGGTCAGCTCTTTCCCAGCTGTTTTTTGATACCTGCAAATAATTTTCACAATTATGCCCCCCTCCCAACACCAACTCATCGTCTGTGAACTCTCTTATGTTTAAACAGGTGGAGAATTTTTTTCTCTCCCTGCTTTGTCTGTGACACCACCAAGGAAACAAGGGGGAGATAAAAGCGTGCCGTATTGACATCATTTTTCACATTATTGGATAAAAACGAACACGGACGTCTCTTTGATTCGATTTCAACAAATGTCATGTTTTATATGGCATTGTATTCCAGGGCTAACATGGAATAATCTGATTCTCCTGCCCTGGATAATGCCATTACACTGACTGATTTTCTCTTCTGGCTATTTCTCATGCATTTCTCTTAGCATGGCGTCATCCACCTCAAACCTGCAGTCTGAAACCAAAGCGTCAAGCACCTCCGGATTCCTCACCACTTCCTTTCAGATCACATTAAAAACGTTCAGGGTGCATGACTAATTATTTTCTCACCACTGCCTTTGGCCTCAGTAAAATAATTTCTCCTTTTCCCTTACGGTTCATCTGATATTCATTTGTGTGCTCTACACTTTCTGAACCGCGGGTGTTGTTACAGCAAAATCTGAAACATATGATTCCAATTCACTTTACCCACGTGAAATACTATTATGTTTTTAGGACTCGGAGGGCTTGAGAAAGAACTTGGTATTGACGCTGAGTGAAATGTAATTGCACTGTTATTGCAGCTGTCCATGTGAGGAGGAAAGCAGCCATTTCAAGAACACTAGATGTTTCCAAGAAGACATTTTTGCTGACAGCCTTTCCATCTGCCAACACACCTTTACCCTATCAATCAATTCTATCATGTACTATTACCTCTCTACCGCCCACCACACAAACACATACACACACATTTTCCAAATTTAAGAAAATCTCTTTCCAAGCTACCAAACACTGATTCCTATTATTGAATATTTACTTCAGCAGACATGTATGCACAAACCATCCACACCCCCACCTGCCTACCACATTACCATCCAAGCCTTATGAAAACTGACACGCGGTCAAGCCACACTTGCTACACCTTCTCAGCTCGTCTCTGTTTAATTGGCTTGTCATGTACTTTCATCAGCCAGCTCATTAGCAGTATGCAAGTGTTGAGGGAGATGATATCTCCATGTCAACCCTGCAGATGATCAGACAACAAACACACATTCACACTGGTACAGGTTAGTGGTGTGTAGTCAGGTGACATGCAAGTCAGTGAAATGAATGAGTTATATATACACATATATATGTATACACATACACAATTTTGTATAATATAATCACTCTGAGAAGTTAGCTTGATAAGTGATAGCCACTGTAGAACTCCATCAACAGAAACTCATTCATTAACACTAAGTACAAGTAAAAAGGCCTGACAATAATGTGGTCAGTCTTGTTTGATTGTGGTATAATCAAACTTACCCAAGCAGCATTAAGGCTGCACACAATGCAACAGTCTTTTAATATTACAGACTTTCGTATCTGAAGCAGGGACCAGTACAATTCAAACAGAGCTCTTTTGAACTTGCAAATGTTGAGTCCACAAAGTCAACCCCACTTTTTATACATTTATTCAGGTCGATGTGGATTGTTATTTTAGACTTTTTGACAGTGCCTTTGTCAAAATGTGTCTCCGATCAGATCTGATGGAACCTCCATCACCTTTGGAGGCCTCATTCTGCATGTAGAATGTTGGTACAAACTGTGCTGTCTGCAACCGAGGATTTGGTCGTTCATAGAAGGATCATCTTGGAGAATTAGCCCTTTTCACGAGGGGCCTTTTCATCCACTGGTACAGGTGCATTTTTCAGTGCCACTGTCATCATGGAATCACACCTACTAACTACCTGTCCCCTGAGGGTAGTCTAACACACAGGAGGCATTGCACTGTCAAACCACCAGCTGTGCTGAGAGAAAAATATTCCATCCTCTAAGTGTGTGTGTGTGTGTGTGTGTGTGTGTATTTTCCAAATACATGTTTAAGCATTGTAACCCTTGCATCCAAAGACAGAAATGTTTTCCATTTTGGTTTCATTTGTTTCTCTGTTACTGTGGGTTAACTGTGTGGATCTTGTGTCATTTTTTTGGATGTTTCAGGTGAGCAATGGGACGGAGACACAGAGCGGACGCCATTCAGTAACAGTAGTTGAGACTCAGGTCCAGAAACAAGAGGACAGGGATGGTTTCCAGCAAGCACACAGGCAGTACAGCTCCCTTCCACGGTGAGACATCCTATCCTTTCTCCTTTCTTTTTTCCGTCTGTCGGGCTGTCTGCCTGTGCATCTGTCTGTTTCTGTCTCCCTCTCTCCCTCCCCTCTCTGTGACTTATCACGTTCTTCCTGCCCTTTCTCAACCTCTTCTTTTGACTTTTTTGATTTCCATCAATGACTTTTACTCATATTTGTGCATTTATCCTTTACACTTTCTTGAGCTTATCTCTTTGGCTACAAAGTCCCTCAACCACAAATCCACTTTTAACTCATCTCCCAGCATTTAAATGATTCTTAGCAAAACTCTTTGAATGAAATCATTTAATGTGATCGCTTGGAATTATCTGACTGATATTCAACTTCATTAAGTCAATGTTGACCCCGGGTAAGGGATGACTTTGTCACATGCATCAGCCCCCTTTCCAACATTTCCCTTATGATGAATAAGAGCTCCAATATCATGTTTTTAAAAGGCTACAACTGCTGCTCTTCATCTTTTCCATCTTCCTGTTTCGATTCTTTTACATATCTGTCAAAGAGATGCCAATAAAGCTTACCATATCTCACATCTCGAGGCGTTGAGAGGAGTGGGGGAGATTTAGTACCAGTATTTGCATTTTAGTCATTGCAAATTGCACAGCCAACCAAACTGCTGATGGAAAATCTCTACATTTTAAGCCCTACATCCTTTAAGAAAAAGTCACCAAAGACACAAATTCTATACTTTGACTGACTGACAGAGATTTAAAGTTAGTAATAAAATAAACATTACTTCCTCTCCTTGTTAAATATTTCCGCTATAAATCAATCCAGTGTGAGTTTTTGTATTATAAAATGTACAGTGTGTTCTAAAATGTTGACAGACAAGTCAGAGTGAAGTCTGATTTATTTAAGTTTTGCTGCCCTGCCAGTTTAAACAAGACAGAACACTCAAAAGTGTATATAAATGTGTGTGTGTGTGTGGTCTTTTAATTTTCTTGGCTGGGGTCACTCTGCTCTCCTGTGATTTCAATCTCTCCTTGCACAAACAGCAATCATTTCTTCGTAGTCATCCTCTTTTTTCCTCTGCTGTCTCTGAACAGTCGCAGTCGGGTCGATTAAAACATGTTGGCTATGGATTTGCGGTCCACAAAGAGGCATAATCAATGTGGTCTGTAAAAGCCAGATCATAGGTGTTATCTGCTGGCATCTCATGTGATGTGACAGTTGTCTCCAGCCCTCCCCTCTCAGTGAGTTCCTTCTCTTGGGAAAGTTCATCTGGCTGACCAAAAAAACAGGCCAGGATGGCCTTTGATATGCATTCCTCTCATAATCTCATAGCGTCTTTTAGCAAAGAGTCGCATGAGCTCAGGCTTGACGTTTGACCCCAGCTAAGGCTTTTCAGAGCTTGTGTCTCGGTACAGCTCCTCATTAAAGAGCTAAAGTCTTACATGCTTAGATTAATAACCACAGTTCCCTCCAAGTCCAAACACTTCTCCTATAGAACCCCTTCATCCTGTCCTTCTCCGCCAAAACAGGAAGCTTTAGCAGTCAGCCATTCAGCCGAAAGGGGACATTCCCTCTGAAAAAAAAAACTCCTTCCCAAAGAGCTTCCAGAAGAAGCCATGGTAGTTGGTTATCTGATGACGGCCAGGCTTAGCTTGCTGTCTGGGATATAAGGATTGAAAGAGCACTAATGAAGGCTTGTTGTTGGAGCGGGATTAACGGTGACAGGCAGTGGAGAGTGAGAGGGGCCAGGAGAGGAACGAGTGTGTTAGTAGGAAAGAGAGCCCACTGATTAGCCTGAAAGAGACGCACACACACACACACACACACACACACATGAATGCTGTCAAGATAAGGTTCTTAACAGTGGCCTGAGTGAATTGCCAGTAGCTCTTCCATCTACCCATGCAGCTCTTGCATTCCTCAGCCAAAACAACATTGTTCCACACTGTAAGGAAAACATTATTCCAGGTTTGTAGACAATTTATTTGTACAATATAGCAGTGATTGTTCCATTGCCCATTGCATGCATTTGGTTTTTTCCCTAATTATTTTGTGTCCGTGCATGTGTATGTGTTTCATCTCCCTCTTCTCATAAACTTTGATTCTTCCCAGCTGTTTTAAAAAAACACACATCGGCCACAAGTTTTGCGAGCCAACTTCCTGGCTTTGTTTGTTATGTTCTGTCATTCTAAATTTACCCCACTCTTTGGCATGATGTATTTTCCCATCCCCTCCCTTTGTAAATGTAACTAATCTACTTTGTGACATATTCTGGCGCAGGAGTAGAGGTGATAAGAGAACTAGCTCCCCTAACGCATCAATCACGATTACATTCCTGTGGAACAACGCCATTTCTTCTCTCTTCTCATCACCACCAAAGGCTTTCCCTCTAAATCTCCCCTCAACTTTAAAAAACGACATGGTCATTCTGGAAACGCAGCTTGCTGCCTCGTGCAACAGGGACCCCAGATTTCTAAATAAGCAGCTCCCTCATGAGCGGTGCTGGCTGCTCTCTGAGCCAAGCCGGGGTGTCCTGTAAATGCGTGGCGGCTCGCCCAGACAGCAAAAACCCAGATATGGAGCATGTGGTGCGGCTCTCTCTACAGTCTGTCCCTACATCTGCCCCTCTGCCAATTACCCTCATACTTACACATGCTCTACATGCAAGCACGCACACACACACACACACAAGATAATGTGTTTGTGTGTGTGCACATGTACAGTCCATAAATGCATACCCATTCATACATGCATGCATAAATGTAGACCTAATCTCACAAAGACACAGATCATACACTCCATACTTCCACTCTTTCCCTCCCCTTAGGTACTGTGGACCACAAGGGCATACATTAATAATGCTGGTATTGTGGGATTCTCATTAGAATAACATAGACATGGCAATAGGAAAAAATATGTTTAAGGGAAAGTTTAATTCAAAAATAATTTATTTTAGTTTATATTATTGATATCCTTAAACTGAATTGCATCTCGTTTTGGCTTGCCTTATTACTAAATAGGAGACTACTGTGGTGCAATCATCATGTTTATATTTATTCATTCAAACAGAGTGACAATTCTAGTGAAGGTTTGCAGTGGAGGTGACTTTGGTAGATGTGTGTTACCAAAAGGCAGCAGATTAGCCTTTCTTTATCGTTGTCTTCACAATCAACAATCTCCACCACCAACAGGAACTTGAAGGCGGAAACACGAACAGCTAATCACAGTTCTCTTCACTCACAGTTCAACTCAGTGGTATCTTTGTAGCCCCAACATGTAGTTGTGAATATTTTTGTGTAGGGAAAACACATCGGCTGTCAAAGCTATGGCGTAACCCCTTTTATGATTTAATCAAGATTTAAAGAATTTATGTCATATTTTCTTTGTCAGGCAACACTGCAGTGCATACAAAATAAGAAATGAAGGTACAGAGTTCAAAATTTTTCCCATTCACTCCAATACCCACTTACCTTATTGTAAGGTTTCAGTTTTAGAAAAAAATTAATATTTTTTAAGAAGTGCTTTGAGCAATAAAAAGCCTATTCTGTCTTTTGTTTGTCTCAGCTGCTTTGGAATGAGATGTGGCCAGATAAGAAATGCAGTTTTGGCCTAAAAGCACGCCCGGCCTGTCTCCCTCTCCCTCCTCGTGAACTCAAAAGCCTTTTAAGCGCACAGCAGTTCAGTGAGGTGTGAATGGGATTACTCTTAGCACCCCTGACGCAAAAGACACTGTCACAGGTCTTCCATCGCACGGGGGTCCTTAATGGATCCTAATAATGGAGGAGTCAACTCAGTACTTTAGCAAAAAAAACTGGCAGTTCCCAATGATGGCTTTCCGGGCCAATTACTCGAAAGGAGAGCATGTGTGGTGGAGGGCATGCATGTGCAATAGTTTTTTTTTTGTTTCGTTTTTTTTTATACGAGACATCATATGTGTGTTCCCGTGGTAGAAAGTAACTAGTACATCAACTCAAGTGCTGTACTTAAGTATAATTTTGAGGCACTTTAGTATTTAAAATTACTGCTACTTTATAGTTCTCTCCACTACATTTAAGAGGCAAGTATTGTTATTTTTACTCCACTACAATTATATGACAGCTGTAGTTAGTTACTTCACACATTCAAATTTCACAGAACATATGATCACCTTTGATAATGATACATTTGTTCCATGAAAAACAATATCCTTTTGCATACACATTTATGCATCAGTATTCACAATCCAATGATATAATCTGCATACTGTATGACACTACTACTGTATTAAATGGGGTATTCTGTAGTACGCTCATACATACATTCATTCATTCATCATTGTTGTCATTTTACATTGTTGTATTACTACTTTTACTACTTTAGTTAATCCTTTGGTGTGTGCAACCGTCATCTCAGTGTAGGGGCTGGCAGGGGGACTAAAGATGAGTAGAAGGCGGATAACGCCGTGAGGTCTCCCATTACTCTGTCTGTGCTGTAAGTGCACCCGTCTGCATCTCCAAAAAGGAGTTAAATGGATGAAAGCAGCCATTTTTCTCAGGGATGTTTTAACATTTGTGTTTGTTTACAGCGTGGAACTAATAGTCCTGTGGGCGTTTCTGGGTCCCCCCCGTTTGTTTCCAGTCTCTTTCGTGTCTCTGTCTTTATGTTACTGGATTCGGTGTAATCATGCAGCAGACTATAACAGATCCCTCTTTGCTCCATGCATGTTGCTTTCTGTATTTTAAGTCAACGCCACTGCATCCTCCTTTTAATCTCACAAAAATGTGTAAATGGCCACATTCTCTGCTGGAGTGCAGTTTCTTTTGAATTCCCTTTCAATAGTGCTGACCCAGGGGCCACTTCTGAAAAAGCAGTAGTAGTAACTGAGCAGAGTTACCAGCTATCATCCTCTGTTGCTCGTACAAGTGCTGTTTAAGGTGACTCTCTCAACAGTGCAATTGACCTCTTTACCTGTTTCTGTTTAGGCAACCTCGTAAGAACCCTGGCATAGTGTCCCAGGACTCATGGGGCAAGATGTACATGCCAGCAGTCGGATTCCAGACATCCAAGGAGAACCCTCGCTACTCCAGCAGCCAGGGATCACATAACGGCTACCTGGGAACATCCAGCTTCAACGCCCGTGTTCTCTTAGAGACTCAGGAGCTGCTGAGGCAGGAGCAGAGACGCCGAGAGCAGGAGGCCAACAAGGCGAGGCCACCTCCCGCACAGGAAACCCCCAGCGGCAGCACCTATGACCACAAGAGAGACCCCACTCAGGCCCCCGGCTCTGCCCCGATGCAGGCCCCACCTCAATCCAAGGGCCCCTACAGACAAGATGTACCCCCTTCACCTTCTCAGCTCGCCAAGCTCACCAGGCTTCATGGTTCAGAGAAAGGGAGGCTGTTTTACTCCTGAGAAAGTGACAAGGAACTGGAAAATAGAACTTTTGGGAGATTAACAACAATACATAGAGGGCAATGAGTCTATTTCTGTTTTGTTTTTTAAAATGCTGAGATACAAAGATTTTTATGGGACTGTTATGGGACTGTTGATAGACAATGTTAATATTTAAGAAAATATTTTTTACGATATGAACCATTATAATTTGTAATTGTATAAAAAGAAATGATTTGAGATGTTTTACTGTCCAGCGATGTGATCATCTAATACGTGAATAAGTGCCTATTAGTCCATCGATTGTTCACCTTTTGTAAGCATCAGGTCCATTTTTTTTGCTTGTGACACTTTCTATCTTATAAATTTAGGAGTGCAGACTGCACAGAGCAGACTGCATCAGAAGCCCCAAGCACATGGCATGGCCCAGGCATGTTTTTGTACTACTCTGGTGCTGGTGGGGATCTCAGTCGATTCCACACTGGTGTAAATGAGGCTTATTTTTCCTATTCATGGGGACTTTGTTGAGCACTACGTGTTTATGTGAGCATGTACAGTGTGCTTGTGTGCACATGTGTGTGAGTGCTGGCAGGAGTTGGCATGTAGTGACAGTGTCACAGAGTGTTGAGGTTAAGCAGCTTGTGTGAACTATGATGTCAGAGTTTTGGGCCTGACCGCTCATTCCTCACCCTGTCCCCCAGTTCTGGGAATTGTCCCTTTTGGTTTCAGAAACAACATTTACACAGAGTGTGTATCCTCTTTCTAGCCCTCTCATGTATTTTCCAATATAATAATCCTGAATTCTCTTTTCCTCTGCTGGCTGCTTTATCTCTGTTTTTTTCTCTTCACATTGTCACCCTCACCATCCGGCACTCTCAGTGGAGGAAAACAGATTTAGATCTCCTTTATTCCTACCCTGTCCCACCCACCCAGGGAATCCAGCAGTATAAATGGGGTCAGGTCTGGGCTATTAATTAATGTACCCCATTAAAAATGAATGGGCCCCTTTCTGTGTGCGTATGTATGTTGTCATACGTATGGCGAGAAGGAAGAAATAGCAACCTTGTCGGCGTGGCTCTGGCCCCGGTCTCATCTAGAATGATTTTGCTGTAACAGAAGCCCGTTGGCCCCTAGGTATCTGAGTTGTTCCTCGCTGAATATTTCATCAGGGTGGTTACATGGGAAACCACATTGGCCCTGCAATGGGTGGCCTCAGTGTGGGACTGCCTATCCTTTGCTGCAATACAATGGAGCTGATTTTGTTTTCCTTTCATGATTATGTCCATTGGTAGAAAAACAGTCGGGAGCTTTTCCTTTGTTCAATCAATAATTAATGGTGCATTTTTCAAAGTGTGTGTCAGAGTGAAATTGTGTGTGTGTGTGTGTGCGCGTGTGTTATTGTATTTCCATCCCTGTAAGTTTTTCTTGGAGGGCAAATGTGAAGGTAATTTTGGGTTGCAGTTAAATTTAGGTTTATATTTAGTTTAGGTAAAGTATTAAGGTTAAATGTGTTTATATATAGGAGGAGGTTTGGAAATTCTCCTCTTGTTTATTTGATCAGATTTTGGGGCCCTTCAGTACATTTACAAGCACTCAAGAAACCAGGTTACTCAGACAAACCAGGTTACGTAGCTAAGCAGAGAAAGTGTTTACTGTAGTAACCTGGTTTGTGTAACTCTGCATATACATGCAACAGTTCATTAATCGAATATCTCCTCTACCTCCAGCTATAGTTTCAAAGAGTTTCTGTAATACCATACCCTGATTACGGAAAGCAGGTTTCTTACTTGATGTTTATGAAATCATTCAAAAGCCAGTGTTAACTGGTTACTTACAGTAAGTGCATGTAAATATGCTGATGTCTGAAAATAGTGTAGGAAGTTAAAAACTATGCAGTGCCATATTTGCAAGATACATTTTTTTACCACTCAATAAACCTTTATATCATCTACCTATTGTCCACTGTTGTAAACAAGCAGTTGTTCATATGGAAAGAATGGCTGTCTATGTCCCATTAAAAAACATTAATATGAATGTGTGCATTTAAACATGACTCCTGAGTTTAGGATAAAGACTAGAAATAGGATTAATATTGAAGTCGTGGTTTATGTCGTGGTTTATGCACCAGCACGTACCTTGAGATCCTCGGGCAGAGGTCTGTTGTCTGTTCCAGAGTCTCGACTGAAAACTAAAGGGGACAGAGCGTTTGCTGTCAGGGCCCCGAGGCTCTGGAACAGCCTGCCCGAGGAAATCAGGTCGGCTGAGTCAGTGAACTCTTTTAAGTCCCTTCTTAAAACATACTTTTATAGGAGAGCTTTTCCCGATTTTTTTTTGTATTATTCTTTACACTTGTTAAAGCACTTTGTAACTTGTTTTTGAAAAGTGCTCTACAAATAAGGATTATTATTATTATTATATCAGACATGCAATGGTTACAGTGGGTTAGAAGTAGGATCTGTCTTATTGCAGTCGAGGTTCCTCACAAGTACATATAAAAATTTGTGCTAATTATTAGTTACATACAAGGGAATGTTAAATACAGTACTAGTATGTTTGTTCATCTGACAATGTTCCAGTGTGCTTGTGTGTGTTTGTGTGTGTGTGTGTAGGTGGACATGTGTTTAAGTGTCTGTGAATGCTGCCAGTAACTGGATGCTCCAATATGTCTATGAATATGTCTTGGCAGCCATATGAACTACTTGGCTGCTGAGTGGGAGAAGACCAGAGGAGTAGGAGGGAGAGAATATGGGAGGCCTGACCTTGCAGATGATTCAGTCAATGTAGTAATCACTGCTTTTCCTCTGAGTCTGCAGTACAAACAGGAGGTTACAAAGAAGGCTGCGCTCACTTTTGCAGTCTCTTCTTCTACTTCTTCTCTTCATTTATCTCCTTCATCTATCTGCCAGTTTCACATGTTTGTTTGTTTTTAGTTTTTTTTCTGGGGCAGAATTAGACTGGGTCTATGAATGTGTGTGTGCGAAGGGGGATTCAACTCTGACACAGCAGCTGTTTTAACTGATGTTTTCATGCTTTATGTGTCCCATCATGAACTGGGGACTTTCAAGTGCCTGCAATATCTACATCTTTTCTCCTCATATGCAAATTTGATAATATCTCATAATGTACATATTATTTGTGTTGTGTAATTAATGTTTGTGCACCGCCTCTGTGACACATGGATTCTTCCCATAAAGCTATTGTTTCAGGGGATTTCTTTTTTTTGTATCCTGGGAGAAATGAGAAATATATTGTTATTGTTTCATTGTGTTTTTATGACCATCCCTCGTTGTGTTTTATTATCCACAATATGGTACTGTGGTGGTAAAAAATGACAAATATGTAAGCACAGTGCAATTTTCCCTTTTACAACAGTGTATTATTAAGAACTGTTTTTGTTTCATTCTCTGTACATACAATATAAACTTTTTTTCAGTGAATAAATTAAGGGTACATTCATATTCTTGTAACAATAATTTCCCTTGATTGTACTGCTTTCACAAATTGTTTCTCTACTTGATAACACACCAGTGAAATAAGATGCATAATTGACAGCAAGTAAAGAATATCTTATTTCTTGCTGCTACCACACTTTACATTACATTACTGATTTGAGAATTCACACAGTTTGTGGAACTTATCTTTTTTCATTATAATTAGAAATGTGGCTGTTGTACATGTATTTAGTTGAACTTAGAAGACATACTTAAAAAACATGTCTTTTATTCATCTGGTTGCCAGATCCTTCCTCATGCTTTTAAAAATGAGTACCAAAATACACTTTCCTCTCATAACTGGAGGAATGTTGAAACAAGTTGAACCTCTGCAATAGCAACAGCTATACTTTGGCGGCAGTTTAAAATATGTGTTTTGTGATAGTAAAAAGTAAAAAACTATGAAAAAACATGTCAGCCCTGTCTTTCAATCTCTTTAATCTGCATTCCTCACAGGTCACTGTAACGACTGGCCAAGAGCTACCTTAACTTCTAATATCATCCTTTGATAACTTTGATGGTGAAAAAGGCTCTGGGGGAAAAGTTTTACAATTTGCCAGCACTGGCTGTGCATCACAGAGCTCCTTGCCAAATTTCTCTTCGCCCTGAGGAAGGGAGAGGCCTTTGAAAGAATCCATCTGGTCAGAGTGGAAATAAACTAGAAAGCACATGACTCGAGATAAAGAAATCCACTAGTCTATATATCAGATTATATATATCACATTTCCTTTAAAGAATTTGAGCTTGTAAAATATCTGAGGTTGTTTCGTTATATGCGGATGATAGTCTTTTGTTCTTTACAAAGCTGTTCAGTGCCAGTTTTGCGTAATATGAAGAGTTTTTCTAGTTAAAGTTAACTCACCATAAAGTATTATAATGCTATAAACCCTTTTAGTTCCATGATGAAAGCTGTTTTTATACTACTTACATTTGTTAGCCTCTCAAAGTCTCTCATATTCAGATATGAATTGCAGCACATATTCTTTTTCAGTATATAACCAGGACTATATGAAAATTAAGATGTATGTAATGTGAATAGTTACATTTAAGATTTCTGATGGATTACATTGATAATGGCTACAAAAAGCATTTTATCAGTGACATGAGGTTTTTGGTGAAACTGACAGGAACTAAGGGATTACGGCAGACAAGAAAGCAAACAAGATTTACTCAAAGTAACCTTAATTCAGGTTTTAACTCGAAACAAAACATATCACTCATCTTTCTGACTTCATAGGAGTCAATGGTCAACACCTAGAATTTTAATTATTTACAAAACCAATAAATAACAGAGCAATCTATTCAGAGTACTCTCCCACATTAATTCAAATAGGACACAACCAAACTTTGATGCTCACATGTCTATTGGATTTCCATACTAACACACATGGCTGGCATTCCACTGGGACTGATATGCTTTAATAAAGCATAGAAAGAATCATCTCCAGGTTTATAAATACCAACTATAGATACCATATACCTTGGAGAAACATTTTTATAGCCTTTTATAGACGTCACAGTGTTGATTCTGTAGATATATTTCTTTGTATTTTGTGGAAATGTATGGAATGGAGATTCTCCTGTATAGTAACCTCATCACTACCAACATCTGACATGAATTCAACATATCTATAGAGGTAATGTAAAGCCATCAAAACACAGTAGGTTTCATTATAACAGGATACACAATGCAGCAACCTAGTGGGTACGTTGCTGTATCAGCTTGCACCCTTAACACGTTGAGGCCTAAGGGAACAGTAAAGCCGTCTTTGGCCGCGCTCTGTCTAATCATTACTCACACTGAAAGACCTCTACTGAGTCTTTAATATCCCCCTTTTGCATTCCAGCCATCATAATACTCCATAATGAAAACCTTCAGCGATTTCCAGTGATCAACAGCAGACTGTCATTCGGCCACTTTGATTTTATTACTCCACTGTCCTCTTGACCCCTGCAGGTCAGACCAGTACACCCTTGTGCTGGCAAGTGCAAGAGTGTTGATATGAGAAGCAGATGGGGTTCGTGTGAACCGCCAGTAGATAAAAATGCCAGTATAAGGATTTGGGAGATCATTTTTTAACCCTCTTTTCAGCCTGGTGGGGCCTGAGTGAGAGTCACCTGTTTTGGGTTGAAGAACCTGCTTCTCCCTCTAAACCCCGATCTGCTGCCCCGCTGGGATTTCAAAAGAGGAAGCCGACTCTGTTGTAGGAAAAACTGTGGTCATAAATCTTGGCAGATGCACAAGAAAAGCCAATAGTGGGAGGCTGACATACACACACACACACACACACACACACACACACACACACACACAC